TTATTAACTATTAATTATTAATAATTTTATAAATTAATTATTAATTATTAATAATTATTAATAAAAGGATTATTGATTAATAAATTTTAATAAAAAGTATGGAAACAAGTAAATAAAAAAATTTCTATTAAATAAGAAAAAGTAGGGTTGTCAAAAAATAAAAGAAACAAGGGGGTTGAGTTCAACCATAATAATAATTAATAGTTCAATTAATAATAATAAACGTTAATTAATAAAAAATAATAATTCATAAAAATAGTACAAAGATTTCAAACCCTACTTTGCAGAATTTTATGAAGGAGTATTGTTTCCTTTGAAGTGACAAAATTTAATGAAAGAATGATAACCAAAATGCTTAGTTGCAGCCTACACAACTGTGGCGAGTCCAATTAAAATACTTATACATTAATAATTTAATTTTTAGATATTGTACTGAATCACAAACATTAAAGAATGCAATAGCCAAATAATTATCTATAATTTAGATGTTTTAATTGTCATGACAGTAATTTATTCAATCAATACTAGCTGAAAAGTTTAATTTATATTTAACAAGATAATTAATTCACATCATAGAAATGTAGTAGAGCAATCAATAGGTACAAAGGCATAATTATTATTAAAATTCTATTTCTGCATATTATCATTTTCTTCAAAGTAGTGTTTGAAATCTTTGTACTATTTTTATGAATTATTATTTTTTATTAATTAACGTTTATTACTATTAATTAAACTATTAATTATTATTATGGTTGAACTCATCCCCCTTGTTTCTTTTATTTTTTGACAACCCTACTTTTTCTTTTTTAATAGAATTTTTTTATTTACTTGTTAATGATGATTTCAGGCTTCTGTGTATCTCCATCCACCTGCTGTAGCTTCTCCCGCCCTAAAACTTTGCAGCCCAAAACGACTAGCATCATAACCCATTTCACCAATTTTTGCTAAGAAAATCTCCCTCAGCCTTGAGCAATTGTGACTGCCTGCCCTTCTGAAAGGCTCTCTATTCTTAATACTAATGATAGGCCTGAATAAACTCTGCTTTGAAGTTGGCTCAATCTTTCCCAGGCTAAAATAACTCTCCATCATCTTGACGGACCAGGTACATAATCCTAACCTAGCTATTAGTACTGTATCCCCTTGCCTATACTGATCTGTCTTACTTGATCTTATAATTACCTCCACCTTTTCTTCACTAATCCTAATATCGGTACACTTAAGCTTGCTAATCTCATTAAACCTCAGGAATGCTGCAAAGGCCAGTAAGCAAATAGTTGCCAGCCTAACCTCAGTAAGAGTAGGACTAACACCCATTGACTCCACCAACTGTTACCATATCACCACAGTAATAGGCTCCTTTTTCTTTTAGGTTGACCTAGCTTACGCTGAAATCCTTCAACCACTGATTTCACCAATTTATTTCCTGATATCTTCCTCAAAGGCTGCATTTACTGTTTCTGCCACCGCTGCTTTAGAGTTGTTGACTCTCCTAAATGCTGGAGATAAAGCACAAACTGTGCTGCTTCCACCGGCCGCACTGATATCTCCTTAGTCAAAGCCCACTTTGGCCACCTCTTATAGGCTCCAATTTATTTTTTAGTGGTTGAATCAGCTCTACATTTTAATACTGTATCTGGGAGAGCTGCAGCCAAGCAAACGAGGTCTGGGTCTTGGAAAGCATTAATCTGCTGTCATACCTTGCCTCAGAAAGCTCTAAGCATGCAAAAAACAATCATTTAAGTGACTTGATGGAAAAAAATTGATTAAATACTCATGCAAAATATGACCAAACACACAATAACCATTCACACAACACCCTGACCACCCAGACTCATTAACATACAGACCTCACCACACAATCACAACTATAGACAGTGCTGGGTAGCCAACCTAAAAATTTCATCAGCGAGCACTTGTAACTCTCCCACCTTGATTATCCATACGACACTCTGATTATCAGAAAACCACTCCACCCTATTTCTGGCTCATTGTACTGCAAAAGTTCTCAGTACTCTCAATACTGCAGTTAACTTTCGCCATGTGGAGCTTTTGCTATTTTCCCCTTTACCGCACTCACCCTGTTCTATATGACAGCCATGCTCAACTGTGTAGCCACCATAGCCAGTGTTACTGGCATCTGAAAAGACTATTCTAACTGCTGAGGGAGCACGCCATATTTTCTGCCCATTGTAAGCTTCAATATTAGTGGCCCAGAAATCAAGCTCTTCCCTAGCGGACTTATCTATTGTAATTTTCTCATACCAGTAGATTCTGCTGTTTAGCAATGCAATCAAACTTCTTGTCCTCAATCTAGTAATTGGTCCCAGTCCAAGCTTGACCCATGACTATAATCTTACCAGCTATGCTAGCCAGAATTTTTGGCTTCATCCTATCATCCTTCTGTGCTCCCTCAAGCAAACTCACTAAATCTTGCATCTTCTCTCTTGGGATCTCTAGCACTCCTTTAGACAAATCTATCACACAACCCAGCCACCACCCCACCTGGGAAAGCTCCCAGCATGATTTTTCTTCATTAGCCACAAATCCCACCTCAATCAAGGATCTTTGAACAATGCTAATATTTTCTAAGGAATTCTGCTCATCATGAAATGTAAACACAACATCGTCTATGTATAAAACTGCCTTAATGCCTTTAGGCCAAAAGGCAAAACTGAAAACATATAGTACTGACCATCCCATTTAAACCCTAGGTATCTTTAGAAATTTTAATGAATATCTACATGGTGATATCGTGACTTAAGGTGAAATGTATTGACAAAACCTGCTTCTCAAAATAGGCCATTGCTGTATGCATATCTTATTTAAACTTATCTTTGTACAAAAACCTATTAATATTATTTCAAATTGACTACTATATAGTCTGTTTACCAGATCTACTGGTTACTACTAGCAACAGACTTCAAACCCTTGGCTGCACATCAACCTTTCTCACACACACCCCTTCATACAAGCCATCAACAGCTCTTGATACAAAATCTGCATAAAGTGACAGTTTAACTGTGATTATTGAACACTTTAGATTCTGGTAAGTACACAAAAGGTAGTCTATACTCCTTTCTAATTATATCACACACAAAATCTGACGCTCTAACACAGCCTCCCAATACTTCACACGACTCCTTAATCTCCCCTTCACACTGACAGTACCCTGCCCCGGCTCCTCCCAATAACGGGATCCCAACATCAGCTCACTGCCCTCACCCATCTCTGAGCTATACTCACCACATAGCCCATCACTCATACACAACTCGATACAATTTGGATACTTTGAAAGGCTAGCTGATTGTGGGATCATTCTTGGGCAGCTACTTCTCAGGTGACCGAACTCCCCACAAGCAAAACAAGGACCCTGTACCCTCCCTGGCCTCATCATTGGCTGAGCAGTAGGAGCCCCAAAAGGTCTACTTTCCCCAAACTGCCACTGTCCTGGGGCCTGAGCAACTCCTCCATGCAGTGGCAGCATAAATGGAATGGCACAATTCCTCCACCAATCGCCTCTAGACTGGCCCAGTCTCTTAGCACCACCTCTAGCTGCTGCACTCTTTTTCTTTCTCCAATCCTCTGCTCTGCAACTTTCTCCGCCATAGAAATACATTTCTCATCCTCACTGTTGGCCGCCAGCTCATCTGACTGGTACTCCTGCACCACGTTCCAACTGTACTCAGATCTGTCAGCCATTCTGATGGACTTCTGGCACTCCTGAACTAACATAGTACCCTGCTTGATGGACTCCTTGGCTTTCTCCAGCATGCCCCGTGAGACATTTATTCCTTCTGCTCCATTAAGTACGTCTCCAACCGACTGCAGTTCCGTCGCCGCTTCCTCCAACTTCTTAGCCAACTCCTCATTGAACTTGTATTGCTTTTTGTTATCCTTCCACCAGAACTCCAATGGCAAAGATTGTTTTACCCTCCTAGCTACTGAGTCTGCCACTTCATCTTTATTCTTCCTCAGCTCTGATTGCATGTCCTTAATGGCTTTCCTGGAATTCTCCATTGCTGTGATCAGTTCCTCAATCCTTTCTGCCATGATATACTGTGGAGTGCGTTGATCCAAGAATAGAAATCTTCCAAGACAATTTAAGCTATGAGATATCACAACTGTACTGATACTGCAAAGAGTGTGCACGAAAGCAACTTGAAAGTGACTTTCCTTCCTTGCTAACTACCTTAAATACCCACTAAGCAGAAGAGAAGGCCATGCCAATGGCATACCTAGGGAGCATATTTTCTGTCTAATTCACTTCCCTTAAGTGACATGAAATTTTTATTCTTGCCACCTAACATAGCAGGATATTTAGCCACATCCCCTTGATTACATCTGTGGATGCATGAGCTCTATTATGTTATTTAAACTTGTACTGCTTTTTGCTAAGTACATGTATATTCTGGAGCATTGAAAAGCAAATTTTGAAATGTTTGAAACTGAAGGTCTTCATCAGTTGAAGAGACACAGAACATGAGACAATGCCACTGTCTAAACACTTGTTCCGTTGAAACTATTGGCTCCATAAAACACAGAGAGTAAGGCTTATACATTTAGTGTGTGGGTGTGGTCAACAGAACATACTGTATAGCTACAATTTTTTGTTAGTCACAAATTTTGTCAAAATCTAAATTTCTTCATAAAGTTAATTTCCGTCAATAATATTTTTGTCATTTATGTCATTAGTCCGCATATTACCCATGTGGAACAAAAATTTCATTAGTTAAAAACTGTGTCAAACACAAATACCTGATTCATTTGATTGAAATTTGGACTAATGGGAATTTAGAGCTCTGTGGCAATAGAACTCATGTTTAGACACTGTCTCCTATTTTTGTATATTCAAATAATAAAATCCTTTGGGTTGAAACATTCTTCTAATAATAAAATTTGCTGTGCAGTCAGTTCTGAGTGCTCTAGGATCTACTTTTTGTTATTATTTTTATGTAATGTCATTACCATCATTAATTTTTACTAATTATTATTTTTTATAGTCTGGTAATACATCGCTAATGGTAACAGCTGTATCAAGTACCAGTCCCTCTTCTACCTATACAATACTTCCATTAACAGTGAGTATAATCTACAGTAGTAAATTCTATTATTCATTGTTAATTAGGTTAATTACAGAGAGAGAGCATCAGCTGTACATGGAATCACAAAGAACTTTTACAAAAAAGAATCAGAATTGCATCCGTCAAGCAAAGAAATATTAGCCAGTAGATTGATAGGTAAGGTCCTACCCCATTGAAAAATTACTGTTCATTTGTATGAATTTGTAATTACCTTTAAGTTATAGCAAAAATGGTTGTCTCTTTTCTTTCAGATCGCTCTATCAGACCTCTCTTTTCACCTGGCTATGCATACGACACTCAGGTATTGTCAAATAGCTGTTGTAATCATTACTAGTGTTATAAAATACATAATAGATCATAAGTAGCCTATTGGAAGATGATGGTTTATCCCACACTGGTGTAATGTCTATCAATGGAGCATCTGCAGCTCTTACACTGTCTGATATACCATGGAATGGACCAGTGGGTAGGTATAGTGTTATGTAGGAGCTACTTTTGATATTGAGTGTTTAATTTAATAGTTTAAACATTCATAAAAATATTGCTTTTTGCTGTATTTTTTTAATTACAGCTGCAGTTCATGTTGGTATCATTAATGGAACATTTGTGTCAAATATGTTGTCTAAAGAAGTATGTGGGGAAATGTGGAAGATTTTTTGATGTTTGATTTTGTTTTTTGGTTGTAGGTGTTAGACTCACCATTAAATCTCATTATTAGCTGCAATAAGGAAAAAATAGGTTAGTAGCCTAAATGTACTCTTCTGCATACCATTGAAACTACTGTACCTCCTTTAGTAATGTTGGAAGGCTATGGTAACGAAATATCAGAAGAGGTGATCTGTAATGCTGTACAATTTGGCATTAAAGAAGTGTTTTTATACACTAATGAATTAAAAATTAATATTGATAATTTTAGGTTCAGTCATTATTAGAAGTTATTGGATCACTCAAGGATCATAGTAAGAAACCATTGAGAGATGTAGAGTTAATAAAACCATCAGATGCTGTGAAGTACAAAGTACACCAGTAAGCAATCAATTCTGTAGACCAGTTGGCACTAAGTATATTCATAGAATTTCGAGCGTTATTCATTGTGATACCGTAAATAAAGTAAAATTTTCCTGCTGTCATTTTGGAGTCTTAGTTACTAAGAGTAAAATGGGAGAAAGTAATATCTTTGCTTCTATATCTTCTAGTGGCACTTATTAAAGTCTATGAGCCAACTCTACACACTGGATCATGGGCAGTAAGCAATAACAGCATTGCTGTCATGAATAAATACAGCAGTTTTTGGAGAATGAGCTCTTTTCACGATCACTCCATTGACAACCATTGGAAGTAGGACTCCAAAATGGTGGCAGGAAATTTTACTTTATTTATGATATCACAATAAATATACTTAAAATTTTATGAATAATACTTAGCGCCAACTGGTCTATAATTAATAATTTGACAAGCATCCAAAGGATGTAAGGTGAATGTATGATGATGTGATGTACCATGTAGCTAGAAATTTTTGTGGCCCAAAATGTCTGCAGAGTACCATAAAGTTGGCTGTTGCAGATTTTGTTTTTACGAATTCAACATGCCTTTGAATTTAGATGGGCCATTTATTTATGTACCAAATTTTAAGAATTAAATATCTGTAATTTTTCAAATCTGCAAAATCTGCATAAATTTTGAGCCACAAAATTTCTAGCTACATGTATAAGGTATTTGGCCTAATTATCTCATGAATAATTAATAAGTTTGCAGATTTTTCAGAAATCATCGGTGTAGGACGCTTGATCCCTCTAGTTGGTCTAAAATTTTTGCGTATAAAGCAGTACTAAGAGCTCTGATCAATGCATGATCACACGTCCAAAGAACTGTGTGTAACGGTATTACAAGAAAAAAGGTGATAATAATGGAAGTAGTACAAACATTGATAGTAAGGAACAATACAATCCTTTATTACTTAATCAGGAAGAATGCCATTAGCCTGAAACGTCTACTGTCAATCCAAAAACAGAGAAATATGATAGGGAGGATATAAAGAAGTGTAGATACAGTACATTGCAAAAAATGTTAAGCAGCTACTCTACTGTTGCGTATGTGGTTCTATGCTCCTTCGTTGCACATGTGCAAACCAACCAATGGTACCAGCGCATGTGGTCAGCAGCAGGACTGTAGCTTGACTGTGAATCAAGCGAAGAGCTTCCTAAACAGCTTCTAAAAGCAGAGTAGGGATGAATTTGGAAAGCACAGATGTCCAAAATAAGCAGTCTCAAGTCCTTTGAGTGCATAAGTGCTTGCTACTACAGAACATGTGACTGTGTGGTACCGGACTACTTCCTGGGTGTAGCGCAGCGGAGAACAATGTAGAATAGCGAAGTAAAATTACTACCTACGTACTACCTGCATACTACCTGTGATACTTAGCTTTTTTTGCCCAGTACTGTACATGTATGTTCTACATTTACTGCTCCTGTTGAATTCCAATCTCACAAGCATCCTTCACATGTTTGCGAATTGCGAGGCTATTAGTTACGCCTCATGGGGAGGTGACTGACTGACAACTTACAGGTTCAAAGACTGACCATAATGAGATTGGAAGAGGTGGGCTTTGTGAAAAATTTCTGAAAGGTCGAAGTGCATCACCAGCTTGCCATCTATAAGGTATCAATAATTGCAGCAGATGTAGTAGTGGCCCTGGTAGTAGAATGGGCTTTAAATATGGTAGTGACTATCCCCGAATCCTCCAGTAAAGGCTTGACCCATTTAGCTATTGTAATAAAGGTCACTGGAGTACAAGGCCCTCTTAAAACTTTAAAAAAAAGGACTGGATCTGTTCTCTGCACTAGACCTCATTGTCATGGTTCAGTCTTTAAAAAATCAGAAAAGTTATCATGAAAAGAACCAACCAGCCAGCAATGTCTGGACTATTTTATACAATTCATTTATAATAATTGTAAATAATAATCCTAAATGATAATTATTAACACTAACAACCATGTGTAATATTAATGTTGATCAAAGTCTTGACACCTACATAAATTTTGTCCTTTACACTCCTCCTTTTTTCTCTTCTTACAAGTAATCCTTGATGGACAAGCATCTGCATTAGCATTAGCTCTTCCTACCTGATGTATAATTGTAAAGTCACATTGTTGTAATGCGATACTCCAACGAGTGAATCGAGAAGACTTGTCCTTGACATGGTTGAACCACATGAGAGCCCAATGATCAGTATGTATTTGGAAGGGTCTTCCCAAGAAGTAAACTTTGAATACTTGAATACCCAGTTTGATTGCTAGGCATTCCTTTTCAATTGTTGAATATTACTCCTTGACGTAGGAGCTTTTTATTAAAGAAGGCAACAGGATGTTCTTGTTGGTCATCATTGATCTGACTTAGTGCTGCCCCAACACCCCTCTCAGATGCATCTGTTTGTAGAATTGTTTGCTAAAGTCAAGGCTGTGTAATATAGGAGATTCACACAAGTAGTCCTTTAGAGTATCAAATGCCTTCTGACACTGAGGGTTCCAATGGACTACAGTAGGGGTTGCATTCCTTGTCTTATCAGCCATGGTAACAGCTACTGACAAAAAATCCTCACATAACCTGTGAAATTATTTGAAGATCCCATGTATATTAAAGAAAGTGCAATTAAAACTTAGAATGCCGCCTTGCATATATACATGTATAATGTACCTGCCAAGCTAAAAATACTTTTTGAAGTGGTCTTATCTTATCAGAATTAACTATTCACCAGAATGGCAATGGATACTATCTGAAGAAATAATTTATTATTACAAATATTATAAAAAAATCAACACGAACAAGAACATAAAAAATTTAAAAAAACAAGATGGAGTAGGATTCTAGA